TGGCATCTGATGGATTAATTGGATTTATAGGTAAAGGTCTTCCAGATGTAGATTCAATTCTCAAGCATTTCAAGGATGCTTTTGATTGGGTAGAAGCAAATAACTCGGGCCGTATTATACCTCATGAGGGGGTTGATGAGGAGTATGATGCTGCATGTAAACAGTTGCAGGAGATTGAACTTAAATTATCCAAGCACTTGAAGGAACAGAGGAAACTGCTTGGAGACTCATCAGTAAGAACATAGATTTAAATGTGCAGTAGGAGTTTATTGAGCAATAGGCGGTTATTCAGATCCAAATCGTATATTTGTGAACATTGCAGATAGATTACGTGACTGTAGGAAAAGATGCATACCTTTTGGAAGTACCAGAATGTTTGTGCAGGAGCATTCCGAAGGAGTATGAATTACAGTCATCGAAAAAGGTTAGTTGGCATACTTCTACATGGCCAATGCTGAACATACCAAGGGTTGTAAATTGTCTTCATGAGATTTCTTGCTACATGAAGTCAAAGTTTACCTATTGCTAATGAGATTTAGAAAGTCCAAAGCTGGTTCCGTAGTTACATGCGGTGCCTATTACTATTAATACGATGCTTGAGTCAACCTAGACCATGGTTTCAAAACCTTTATGTAGAAGATTGCTAATTTTAATCAACCTGTTTAACACGTTCATTATTCCATTGAGCTGTGCATGCATGCAGTTGATGCTGCAGCTTAACAACAACTAATTGCAGTGTCCAGAGGCGGATCCAGGATTTAGATTCTGTGGGTTTAACTTTAAGGTTTTTAGCATTGAACCCGTTGTATTTTTAAAGTTATGGGTTCAGACCTACCATTTGTTGCAATTTTAATGAATTTTTACACATAAAATTATACTCTGCGACGAAAGTAGTGGGTTCAGATGAACCCAGTGGCCATACTCTGCATCCGCCCCTGGCAGTGTTGTAGTTTTTTATGAATTCTATTGTCCTCATTACAAGTACTCCTTCCTTATGTGGTTATCTGTATTGGTTTGGATGAGGAGCATGAAGATACATTTAATCTTTTTAAAGCAGTAGCGATTCTAGAAACAAAGGAACGATACTAGGAAATTTACTATGTGGTATATTGGACTTCGTACTAGATTTAAACAAGTATATCATCACCCAGTAACTGTAGTTTAATTACCTGGTTTTTTGGTTAGTAGTAGCTGTGCACCTGCTTTGTTTTTAGAAGAACTGGCTGTTAATCGGTCGTAGAAGCAATATTTCCATCCATGTGCCATGACTGATCTTCTACTTTCCCCTATAAAATATCTGGCATGCAGGGTTATTTCAGGTACTGGAATCCAGTCTTAAAGAAATTAATCGGAGAGCTCTCACAAGCTGATTCAGAGAAGGAATCTAAGCTAAAAAGCATTTTGCAGAGGTTGATAGGACGGTTTTGTGAGCATCATAATAAGTGGAGAGAATTAGTTAGTATCACTGCAGGTATTGTTGACCCTTAATATGGACATGGAATCAGATGTTGCTCTTAAGTCTCTCTTTCCCTCTCTATTCATTTTGGAGCAGTAATATCATTAGTGCTCCATTGTGAATCTAGTCAAGTCTTCTGGAAAAAAAAATCATATTTGCTTATGGTGGAAAAAGAATAGATTATTTTCAGGTTCTCAGTTTTCTTTGCATGCTTTTGGGCAGCGACATGATGTTCCATGGAAGTTACTTGTGTTCCTTTTCATTCATACTTGATTGTATTCTTTTGTTAAGAAAATTTGGAGCTGGAAAACTTATGTATCATTCTTTTGATCCGCTTTGTCCTCCTGGTGACAGCTTAATCAGTCTGCCCACTCAACAAAATTCTCTGCCCCAGTTGAACAGTGGATTTGAAACATAAAAATCTCTGATAAAGGCTAAAAGAGTGGTTACTCTTTCTTACTTTCATAAGATTCTTTTAAGCAACAGTTAACGGAAGGGCGGCGACATTCCAGAAAAGTGGAAAGGTCGCTGTGATTATAACAAACTCGGAGGGATGTTCCCTAGTTTGTAACAGGTTCCCTAATTTGTAACAACTTTTTCAAAAGTTAAAAAATATCTAGGTTATTGTGCTCATTTGACTTCAAATTAGAGGAAAATCGGGAGGTTAGTCACTATGTCCAAACCAATTCCCGGTAAATAGCACTGTGTTGATTATAACTAATATACTCTTGCTTTAGAAAGAGCTTTTTGCTCATGAAGTTTAAATTTGTACTTGGTTGCTCTTTGATTCAAGAGCATCTGCTATATTATCAGGTACTTAAACAAAGAAGCTTAATGATACACAATTAGGATCTTTAATACAGAAATGTGGCTGTTATCTCTTGCAGAATTGGATGTTTTAATCAGTTTATCAGTTGCGAGCGATTACTATGAGGGACCAACATGTCGTCCAAACATCAAGTCAGTGCCAAGTGAAGATGATGTGCCAGTTCTTCATGCTGTAAATTTAGGGCATCCTGTTCTTAAAAGTGATTCTCTAGATAAGGGAACCTTTGTTTCCAACAATGTTTCCCTTGGCGGTCCTCCAAATGCCAGTTTTATCCTTCTTACTGGTCCTAACATGGGAGGAAAATCCACTCTTTTGCGCCAAGTTTGCATGGCTGTAATTTTGGCCCAGGTGAGTTACATCCAGTAGAAAATTAGTGTTTTCTCATCTACGATGGCTAAAAGATTTGATGCTTCTTAGGTAGGAGCTGATGTACCAGCATCATCCTTCGACTTATCACCCGTTGATCGTATATTTGTAAGAATGGGGGCCAAAGATCATATTATGGCAGGCCAGAGTACATTCTTGACAGAACTCTTGGAAACTGCTTCAATGCTGGTGAGATTTTATTGTTTCTAAAGGCTGTTATCAATTTGTTGCTTGACTGCCATCTGATTTTGTTAGATATATACCATCTGGCTGAGAGTGGAAGGGAGAGAGAATTCTAAACAAATACATAAGTTAATAAATAATCAACTTATATTATTGTACCTGCTTAGACATGGTCATTATTAAGAGCAAAATGGGGTTGATATTAATTTCAGCTAAAAGGCTGTTATGAATTCATTGCTTGACTACCATTCAGTTGTTTTACATAAAATACTATTTAATTGAGAGTGAAGGGGAGAGAATTATGTAAACAAATAAATAAATAATCGACTTGTATTATGGTGTCTGCTAAGATGGCCTTAGACATGGTCACTATTAAGAGCTAAATTGGGAGATCATTATTGGGTTGTTGATATTAATTTTGCACTCTCGTCTTCATTTAGTAATCTGAACATTTGTTTGCTTGGGCTAATTATCAATGATTGTAGTCTTTGGCGAGCCGTAATTCACTTGTCGCACTCGATGAACTTGGTCGAGGTACATCAACTTCCGATGGACAAGCAATAGCGTATGTGCCAATTGTACCAAAACATTATTGATTATTTGTTACATTGTAGATTTTATTCTCTTTCCCTTATTTGCTCAAACAGTTTCACCTAAGATCATTATGTTATGTTTCTGGTTCTGTTGGCAGTGAATCAGTTCTTGAACACTTTGTCCACAAGGTGCAATGTCGAGGAATGTTTTCTACCCACTATCATCGATTATCTATTGACTATCAGAAAGATTCCAGAGTACTGTCTTCCAATCTTTCACTTCCCTTTCAATTGTCGAATTTTATATGCATTGCCTTAAAGATCAAGCATTTGACCTGAACATTTTGATGCTATAGCTAGCAGAATAATAAAATCAGACAGTTAATAAGCGGATGCCTTATGGTTGATACTCATTAGCTTACTTGTTTTGATTTCGACTATTAACCTGCTAAAATCGGATGCTCAGTAGATCACTTACTTGGAATTCTATGTTCTTTGGTTGTGCAGGTGTCACTGTGCCATATGGCATGCCAAGTTGGGAAAGGGTCCGGAGGTCTTGAGGACGTTACTTTTCTATACAGGTTGACACCAGGTGCATGTCCTAAAAGTTATGGTGTCAATGTGGCACGGCTGGCTGGTATGTGTGTAAAAGTTTTTCTACTGCATCATGAATTCTTGCTTTATGTATCTTTTCCATTCCACCTCATAAAGGTTTAGGGGACTCGATATCTCTTTTATCATCCAATGAGAGGGTCATTTCGGGTTGGTTTGCAACCTTAGTTTGTGAACTTAGGTCTCAATTTTATTTTCACTTTTAGCTTGTTGAACCACATTCTTTAATCTCAGAACTCTTTTCAGGACTTCCTGATGGTGTGCTTCAGAGAGCTGCTGCTAAATCTGAAGAGTTTGAAATTAATGGCCACAATAAGCAATCTGAAGAGAACTCCTATGGGAATTTGACAAGAAAGGCAGCAGCACTTGTGCAGAATTTGATGAATTTTGTTATTGATGAGAAATGTGACGACAATGGTGTGGTTCTTTGTGAGTTGAATGGATTGCAAAGGAGAGCAAGAATACTCCTTGAACAAAATTGAAAAGAAATCTTAATGTACAGCTCCTAATCCTGTATGGGCATTCTTATTCCCTAGTGTTACTCTTGCCAATTTTGTATAGAAACATGCTTTAGCAAAGTCCCCTCGTTGATTAAGGTTGCTATTTAGAGTTTTGCAAAAGAGAAGATGTTAGTAAGCCAATTTATTTCTCTTTACTCTGCCAAATTTTGCCCACATGGATATATAGGTAGCTGATTTCACAACATGATGGTCAAAGGCAGTAGTCGGCATAGGGGTGTGGAGGGGTAGGTTGTCTCCATCCTGTTTGTAATTTCTTATAGTGAAACATCAAAACAACCTAGTTTGTTGGCAATATCTAACCGTTTTAATAAGGTTAGTTTCTCTTCCGTTTGACTTGGATCGCAAGAGGAGTTTGGCCAGGGTCGTTGGCCTAACTGAAATATATAAGTATTTCTATTTCGCATTTGTCTTTGTGAGTAAGCTAATAGCAGTAAGTTGAAGTAGTTTGTTAAAAGAAGCAATGGGATTGTATTAATAATCAATCTAACTGCCAAGGAATCTGTTGTGAAACTTTCATTACTCTCCACGAGTATGGTAAAAACTAAAAACCAATTAGATAAAGCATCAGGATGATGCTTAGAAAATACAAATTACACTGTTAATGAAAAGAATAGAAAATTGGGGAGGGCTCTCTTATTAGTTGTCTTGGTCAGAGTTGGATAAGCTGTCTTCTGTATCCTGAATAAAGAAACAAACAAAATATTTAGATTGTATTTATGGAGCTAACGAACATGTTAGAAAATGATTGGACTTGAAGTTGGATTGAGTTGACAAAAATAAAGAAATGAGGTTACCAGATACTGCTGTCTAATGATAATCTGAATTCTTGTGATTAACAGGACTATAATGTACATGGGCAAGAGTATTCCAGTGGATTTTATAATAAGCAGCTGCAAGCAAAAGGGACAAATAAGGTTGGTAAGAACTACATAGTATTAGTTGTTAAGACAGTTAAATTGGTACCAAATTACCATTTTATTATACAACATCACAATCAGATAAGTTGGTACACTTACTGTAGGAAGTGTAAAGGGATAGTTTCTTGGTCCTCCAGTGAGCACCTCTAGCAGATGTCTCATCATAAGCAGAATTGTGAACTGCAAAATTAAATTAATACCATAATGTTAAATTGACACCACATTAACTGACAACCCCCAACAAAAAAGCAAATAGAAAAAATCTACGGATATCAATAAATGCCATATTAATAATCAATTGATTAGATAATGAAGTTAATTAATGTCCACGCAGGATCACGAACTAGTGCATAATGCATATGGTATGTGAAAATAACCGAAACTGGACTATTTCCGGTTCATGTTTTTGGGAGCAAATCGCAAGAAGAAAGTTAATTAATAGTAGTAACTTAAATGTTGGTTTCCATAATAAAATATGAAGCAGCGTCGACGCACATGTGTTTTTGGGCTGTCAACAATGTTTGATTACTACGTTTCCAAAGAGACAATTTAATGGTTAAGATGTCACAATTCGAATAATAAGTATAATTACAAGTTTAAATTTCTCATCTTGACCATTATTGTTGAGTTGGACCCTTCTCTATTTCGTTGTTAACTACTTATATAACAGGCAAAAACAATTACACAAAACTCAAGCATTGATAACAAAAATGAAAAAATTCAAGTGCTTACAATGAGAGCAACGGTTCGACAACAAGAGGCACTTCTATCTGCTGCTTGTGAACATTGAGAATACTGACTCCTCACCAACATTTGTCCTTCTTCTTCTGATTCTCTTTCCCTTCCATTTTCTATATCTGCTTCTGCATTTCCTCTACATGCAACCAAATGTCCATATATATTAATAATGACTTTATATTCTATCTACTGATAAGTGATAACATAAAATATTTAGCTATTACAGATTAGACTATATTGATAGTATAAAAAGTCTTAAGTAGTCGGAGCATATAATTAAATTAGTTAGATCCATTAACTAACAAGTGCGTTAGTAATGGTTAAGGGTGGCAAAATGGTTAAAAGAAAACCGTTAATCGTCCATATTATCCATTAAAAAATGAGTTGGATAATGAACTTTTTAAAAACGGGTCAAATATGGATAAGAACCATATTATCCATTTAGAAAATGGATAACCAATGGGTCTAACTTTTACATTTGTAAAGCCTCAAATTGGGGATTCCTCAAGTTAGGGAGACTGAGAATTCTCCCAAAAGTGAGCATATGCAAGAAGTCATGGATAATATGGTTATCCATATTATCCGCCGGTTAACCCGTTTTTTATCTGTATTAAATATGGGTCGGGTCGGATAATTTATCCGTTTTTTCATTACCTGTTTTCGACCCGAACCATATCCAACCCGACCCGTCAGTTTGCCACTCCTAATAATGGTAATTAAATATTGCCCCTCATGGCGAAACTGTTATTAAACCTGTACTTGTTATTAATTTGTTATATCCAATGTCGGAGATAAAAATATTCAGACATCCTTGGCAGTTTCTTTAGGGAATGTATTAAATATCTATCAAGTACAATGAAGGAGACAATAGCAATATTAAATATAAAATAAAGGCTAGTCTAAAATTATAACGTGCCAACTATTCTTCTTTTTTTTCTAAAAATAAAATAAAAATCGAGGAGTAAGATTGGTCGAATATATACCTAATTGTCGCAGCTGTATTATCAAACAAGTGGGCCTTCTTAGGAGGTGGAGCCGTGTATCCAGGTTCAAATTTCTGCAACGTTAAAAATGTCATCAACTTTATAGATTACTCTGATACAGAGTACACAAAAGAAACTTTTAATTTGGTCATCAAGTTTAATGCCGTCTAAAGAATTCTTACATTATCAATATAATTTTACATTTGTTTTTTACGATTATTGAAATTTTTTTATAATTATCCTGTATGTATATTGTCACTTTATAAAAGTTAACCTCTTTAAAATGAATACATGAACAATCTAAATGAAAAAAACGAAAGTAACAGAAAATAGCGTAGCTTAAACTGAACGTCAAAGTATAAGCAAGCAGTCAAGAAGTAGATAAGCATAGACGATGGAGACATTTCCATTCTTTATCATATCGAAATTAAAGAAAGCGTGTTCTGATTTCTGTCATATGTTAATTATCTCTTTGTGCTTTTCCGAGGGTCAACTTTAATTGCTGATTTTTCCAAATTTGCCTCACATGATTTTATAAAACGTTATTTTTATGTTGAAATATTTGATGAATTGACACCAATGTAAATGTTTTGACCTCATACTAAAAACATTTCAGTAGAAGAAAAAACAGAGGAAGCAAATTTTTGTCTTAAACCAGGAAAATATATGTGTTCTGTACGGAAATATAAATTTCCCCACAAAACAAAAAGAGAACCCAACAAGAGTCACTTATGATAATTTCATTTCTTAGAATTGGAATTGGAATTATCAGAAAAGAAGAATCGAAATTCGAACCTGTAAGCAAATTTCGCAGATTGTATTTCCCTTTTCATTGCACCATCTTTGAATACAATCCCTGTGAGCAAACTGAAAAAACAAAAAGTCCAAATTCAATATGTGAATTACAAAAAAATAAGTAAGAGGATCAAACCAGCTCTATTAGAAACTTAGCTACCCAAAGAACATTTAAATGATAAAAATTAATAGTAATCAGTAATATAATTACCTTGACAGTTCCAGAACATGCACAAGGAGCTTCTAAATTTTTACAGCTTTCAAATTCTTCGTCATGGCAAATTCTACATAAATATGTTGAACCAGAGATGAATTTATATTCATCTACATATATTATCACTTCTCCCATCTGAGTTTTGCTTTTCATAATAATCTTTTAATGCAATATTCTGATAGTTTTTGTTCTTTCCTTCTTCTTTCTCTGTTTTCTTGGCGTCTTAGAGAGTATAAATATACCAAGAGGATAGACGCTGAAATTCCAATATTGCCCTTATTCGGAACTTTTCAAATGAATCTACCACATAGCTACAACTTGTACATAATCAATACGCGCTTAAAGGATTTAAATTAAATCTTTTAGGATCTTTGATAATAAAAGAAAATTATATACAAAGCTAACCATCTTTATCCATTTTCCACCTCTATGATTAAGCAATTATCCAACATGCATGCAGACTCTTAGTATATTTTATTCTGCTCTAAATATAACTATTTGGGTGGTTCAGCTATAAGTTTTACACATATTATTTAACTCTCACATAATATTAAGGGATACCAATAATTTTGTTCTTTTAATGTTTATGAATTAATTTGATTTCTTGTTAGGGTATAAAACTAGATTCAACTTTCATTTCAATGCATAGATGAACTCGTAAGGTTAGTAGTAAATGCAACATTACGCCGACCTTTAATCAAATTTTATATATAAATATGAAATATCTTGTATTTACTAATTTAAATCTATATCTATTTCAATAGAAAATTACTTTGATGAGCAACTAATTAAGCATTATTATATTAATAAGCGATCATTCGTGTTTAGCTTAAGATTGAGAAAAATATAGTTAGTTTACCCACTTTAACCATTATATATTTGCCACAAACTAACTTACCAACCCTCCTTCTCCCTTACTCCTTCCTAAATAAGAGAGAGAAACGAAATTTCTCTTTTAGTGAAAGGAGAAGAAGAAAATATACACAAAAAAACATGTCGTAATTTTATAATAAGCGAGGAATGAAGTCTAACATTGTCTCCGAGCTCCGACAAGTTCTTGTCTTTTGTTATGAAATTATTTGTTTAATTTAATACTAGTATTATTGTTCAATGAATTAAGTCTATTCATTAATGTTGTAAATAAATTTTAAATGCTCAACATAATTTGTCGGATTACTATACGTTGCTTGTCTTTTTTGTTAGGTTATCAAGCCTTATTCACAGTAAATACTTACGTATAATAAACTAGTTTTCAACAAATATTTTTACAATATTAGTGGATAAAACTTAATTGCTTGCTGTTTGCTTGAATTGAAAAATAAAAAGTCAAGTAGGGTCCTATGATTTGTACGTGGCCACCTAAGTGTGTATGACTAACAACATACGAAAATGAGTTAAGTCTGTAACTAACTAAAAGGTGGAGGGTATATGATGGAATATTCAAGGGTTTTTTTCCGTTGTTATTTAATTAAAGGCAACTAATTATGCATTATCTAGAAACTAGAGTCCCAAACAACTCTTAATTAATCTGTAGTTTAATTGTCTACCTGTATTCCATTTTTGAATTCGTGAAGCTCTCTCTTCCAATAGTTTGAATATGAGGTGTCTGATTGTTTGATGAACGGCTATAAGTTGTTCGGCTGCCAACAATTTTTAAAACTTGTGGGACCTATTCGTAAATTATCCAAAAATTTTGCAACGCGCTCCCACCGAAGAAAAAGAAGAATGATTCTGTAGGGACCATTTTGACGGCCCATGTTGTCTTGATGTCTATCTTAATTAATTTTGTGGTTTTAAATTAATCTTTATACAAGATATTTGTTAATATTTTAAATGCTAGTACTAGTTAGTAAGGAATTAGAAAAAGATCAAACCAAACAACACCAAAAGATAGGAAACTTTCTAACCGAAAATACCAACTCGTCCCACTTGATTTTTACACTAAAATCATGAATGCAACAAAGGCAAGTGGAACATGTATATGTGTTATGTTAAGAACAAGCTCTAGGTTTGCCATTAATGGAGTCGGGGAATTGAAGAAGAAGGAAGAACAAAGAAGAGAAGAGAGGAAAGTTTTGGAGAAACAGAAAGTGAGCTGAAATTTTCTAATCTGATTAACAGTAAGTACACTGTACAACTATTATATTATTCATTACAAGATAATGTCTCCACTAACTAATCTTATGACAGCTAAGCAACTAACCTCTAACTAATGATGTTTCTAGAAGAGTACAACATAAATAGCTAACTGTACAACTATTTATTTCTACACTCCCCCTCAAATTGAGAATGGAAAATGTTTTTCATTTCCAACTTGGAAAGTAATGTTGAATGTTGTTGATGGCCTAAAGCCTTTGTCAAGATGTCTGCATGCTGCTCTTGACTGGATATATATGTAGTTCGTATCAGACCTTTTTGTATTTGCTCCCTTATAAAGTGGCAGTCAATCTCTATATGTTTTGTTCTCTCATGGTACATAGGATTAGCTGCTATTTGTAGGGCTGCCTTGTTATCACAATACAACTCCATAGGCATCTTCACATTCACCCGCAACTCTATCAATAGTCCTTTCAACCACATCAATTCTGCTACTATATGTGCCATACTTCTATATTCAACTTCTGCTGAACTTCTAGATATAGTACTCTGCTTCTTTGCTTTCCAGGATATAAGTGATGCTCCTAGTTTGATACAGAAACCAGTAGCTAATTTCCTAGACATAGGGCATGAAGCTCAATCTGAATCACAGTAGGCCACAATTTCCTCTGCACCAGTGCTTGACATTAAGAGTCCAAGTCCAGGTTGATTCTTGACATACCTCACTACATGTAGAGCTGCTTCATAATGTGACTTTTTTGGTGCATGCATAAACTGACTCAAACACTGTACTGTATATGCAATGTCTGGTCCGGTCATTGTTAAGTACAACAACTTCCCAACTAGCCTCTGAAAAATGTTTTTACTTCCAAAACCTCATCAGAACTTTCTGTCTTTATTAGCTCATCAAATTCTGCACTAGTTAGCTTTAGATGTTGTTCCATTGGAGTTTCTTTAGGCTTTGAACCTGAAAGGCCTGCTTCAGAGATCATCTCCAAGATCTTTCAGCTTAAAGTTTTTGTGTAAAGCATCTTTGGCTGATTGTATCTCTTCCAAACCATTTCCTGTAACAAGCAAATCATCTACATATACAAGTATGAGTACAAAAGCACCATTAGTAGTTTTAATGAATAATGAGTAGTTATGTTTGCTCTGTTTGAAACCACATGCTAGTAGGGCTTGTATTAGTTTTAAGTTCCATTGTCTAGAGGCCTGTTTCAACCCATATAGGGATTTGAGGATTCTACAAACTTTGTTCTCCCCCTGGCTACCAGATCCCTAGGGCAGTGTCATATAGACCTCCTCAAAGAGATCACCATTAAGGAAGGCATTGTGTACATCCATCTGGAAAAGAGGCCAATGCTTAAAGGCTGCAATAGCTATGATAGTCCTCACAGTAGTCATCTTAGCTACTGGGAAAAAAATATCATAAAAATCATTGCCCTCTTGCTGGGTATATCCTTTTGCTACTAACCTTGCTTTAAACCTCTCAACAGATCCATCGGCATTATACTTAATTTTGTAGACCCACCTACATCCAATGGTCACTTTCCCAGGTGGCAGAGTAACTACTTCCCAAGTGTTGTTCTGTTCTAGTGCTTCTATCTCAAGCTTCATTGCTTGAACCCACCTGTCATCTCTGATGGCTTGAGAGTAAGAAGAAGGCTCAGTGTCTGATGAAAAAGAAGCTAGGAAGGACTGAAAATGGGAAGGAAGATGAGAATAAGACACAAAATGTTGAATAGGATAAGGAGAAGCAGAGGTAGAAGGCAAAGGAGGGTGAACATAGTCAGTTAGCCAAATGGGAGGTCTGGATGGTCTAGTAGATTTCCTGGGCTGTAAAGATTGTTGATGTGACAAAGAGAGGGAGTCAGCAAGAGAGGAAGGTGGTGCAGGAATAACAGGATTAGTTGAAGGTGGAGGATGTGATGAGGCAGGTGTAGCAAGGCTGGAAGAGAAAGAATGAGATGGTGAATCTGGAGGGAAGGAAGAATCAGCAGGTAAACTAGAATGATCATCATTAGAAGATGGTGGAACAAGTGGTTGCACATCAGAGATAGGAAAAAAAATCAGAAGTAGGACATTTAGGAGCAGAATCAAGGCAGGCAAGAAACTTGTTTCTGGGATATTTGAAAGGGAAAATATCTTCCTTGAATATAACATCCCAACTGACTAAAAATTTATTGGCTTCAATGTCAAAGTGTTTGTAGCCCTTCTGTGTGGGTGCATATCCCATAAACACAGCTGGAATGGATTTAGAAGTAAACTTGTCATGAAAATCTGGCTTTGTGGCATAGAAAAGACACCCCAAGGTTTTGATATGATCAAAGGCCGGTGGCTTTCCATGAAACACCTCATAAGGAGATTTTCCATTTAGGATGGAACTAGGAAGTCTGTTGATAATATATGTTGCTGTAAGAATGCAGTCCCCCCAGAATCTCAAGGGATGTTTGCTTGAAACCTTAAGGCTCTAGCTACATCTAGAAGGTGTCTATGTTTTCTTTTCACAACTCCATTCTGTTGTGGAGTGTGTACACAACTACTTTGATGAATAATTCCCTTGGTTTTTGAAGAGATTAGAACATAAGGTGTTAAAGAATTCAAAACCATTGTCTGATCTGAAGGTTTTAATAGTAGTGGAAAATTAATTCTCTACTAGGTGAAGAAAATCAGTCAACACAACATATACATCACTTTTTAATCTCAAAAGAAATGTCCAAGTCATTCTGGTACAATCATCAACCAGAGTTAGAAAGTACCTATATCCATTATGGGTATTTACTCTATATGGACCCCAAACATCCATATGAACAAGCTGAAACGAACTAGCAGACTTTGAATTACTAATAGGAAAAGACAATCTTGTTTGTTTAGCTAAAGGACAAACATAACAATTACAAGCAGAGGTTGGAACACTAGACAAATGTTTACTTATTGCAAGAATTTTTTGTAAACCTGGAAAAGGAGCATGACCCAATCTTTGATGCCCTAAAGCATTTGTGTTTTGCTAAACTGAAGTGGTCATGCACTTAGAAGAAGAAACAACAGCATGTGTTGAAGGACTGAGGATGTAGAGGCCACCCTCAATCCTACCAATCCCCTTCACCATGCCACTGAAGAGGTCCTGAA